AAGATTTTACCTGAAAAAAATTCGAATTAAGCTTTTATCTTTATGTGAGAATTAATAATCTATAATAAGAATTATGAATCATAATCTTATATTAGTTAATAATCTTGTTAGTTCTCACACTGTAATGCTGACACTTGAGGTAAAAAAGCATTAGGGAAAACCCCATGGGCTTTGGGGTTAGAAAGACTTTAGAGTCTTCCTCTTGGTAACCAAGAGGTTTGGGCAAGTCAGTGTATCTTGCTGAATTTAGGTCTTCACCCATACAGTGGCGATAATAAAACATACTTTTCAGAGTTTTGGGAAGATTATGAAACAACTAATGAAAATTGCCCAGTGTATGGTGAGCAAAGAAATATCAATTGTCTTGCCTTTTGGTATTATCTGAGAATATTATCATCCTACCGTAGGTCAAAGTCACCTCTGAAAATAGAATGTGGAATCTCAGGATCTCATAGATAGGAAAATGTTTTATAATAGAGTCCAATATGAACAATAAAAAGTGAATGTTTAGTTTGCACACCAATTTAAGCACTGCTAAGTGATGTACCAGTACCTCTGAAGTATCCCTGGTAAGCAAGTTGTGGGTGGTCTGTAGCCCCAGGCCCTCCCTACCTTAGAATGGAGAGCACATTCTGTCCTAGGCAGGCTTCATCGTCCAGAGTTGTTCAGACTGAACCAAAACCCCCTCCTAGCAGTTTCCCCATCAGGGTCCTCATTCTGGATTCCAAGTTTCTGCACATCACAGCTTTTGGGCATTTTAGTCCTGCTCTCTCAGACCAGCACCTGGCCATAGCAGGCAGTGAGCAATGATTTCTTCCATGAATGATGGGTCCGTGAATGAGAGAGACAGGGAATCAGAGCCATGGAGTGTCTGAGTGCTTGGCTCTCTATGCTGAGAATGTGAGCACTGTTTCTTTGGAATTAAAAGAATGATCATGCATCAGTCGTGGTACAATAGAGAAAGCAGAATCATCATGAGTTTTATAGAGTAAGAGATTTATTATAGGAATAAGGCCTCACATAATCACTGAGGGAGCTGGAGAGGAAGGGTTTGGAAGGAGCTGGATGGTTAGAGAAACGTCACTCTGCCTTCCCAAGCACTAGTGCAGGGGACCTAATGCAAGCTCACAGGGAATGTGGGAGGGTGAGGACATTAGCTGGGGGCCTCCTGGGAAGGAGAGCCAGTGGGAGGTACAGGGCCATTGCCTCTGACTGTGGTTGTGGATATGGAAAGGCCATTAGTCAGGGTCTTGGTCATGGTTCTCCAGAGAAATAAGATTCTGTTAGAATCTGTAAACAAGTCAGGATGGTGCCTGGCATTTTGCCAGGGGGAGTGGTTTGTGAAGTAAC